AGCAACACCCCAGAGAAACACTCAGAACATACAATCAACCATTTCCTGGCAATCCTCAAAGCAGCTCTTTTGGTGACAGTGAAGCAAATCCATCAAATAAGCAGGAAAAAAAAATACCCCAACATGCAAAACTAAAATATATATTAAAAAAAACTATAATAAAATTAATATTATAAAAATATTTTCATTATTGCTATGAGCTCTTATCTTTTGAGTTCTATTGAATATTTCCAAAGATTTTTAAATCAGAAAAGTGTATCAAAAGCAGTAAGAAAGAAAAAAAATCATAACAGTAACTAGAGTATTAAAATCTGATTTAAAAAATAAAATCTTTAAAAAATAAAAATAAATTAAAATTATTACAAATTATTAAATTTTTAAAAATGTTATTTAAAATAAAATTTTCTTTGAATGTGCAAGAAAATTCCATGGAAATTTTACTTCCTGGACATGACAAGAGTTATCCTGCCTGGCTCCCACAGCCACACAGAAGTCAAACCAGGAGCAGGCTGTGATTTATATTCATTTATAAACTGATATAAATCAAATACATTTCCTCCTGTCCCTCGAGCAGGCACTGAAGTCTCACCTGACTCTTCCTCCCTGACATCACTCAATTCCTTGCAATCCTGGGGAGCACAAACTCTCTTCTCTCTGCCAGAGAGGAAGAGGAAAAGCAGCTCCTGACACTCAGGGTCTTGGCCTTTTTTAGCAGCCAGGTCACACCAAGACAGGTGAGAATTGCTTAAATCCCAGGGTAACACTCATTAATTAGAAAATTAACTGACATTATGTATTAACTTCATGTTAATCTGTTCAAGAGATGGTTTGAACCAAACACACAATACAGAGTTCAGCAGGAACACATTCAATTTTTTCAAGTTTGTTTTTTTTTTTAATCCTAATTTTATTCCATTAAGATTCCACTTATGGATTCCATTCCATTTATTCCATTTAAGATTTTCACTATTTTTTTTTCTCTCTTGTGCTTCCACATTGTATTTTAATCTATTGCTCAGGAGTCTGATGGGATGTTTAGGCCATAGAACACATGGAGAGGTTTGCACAGCCATGCTGGACAACCTCACAGGGCCACAGTTCCCATCACCTTTAAAACAGGGATAAAATTCCATATTTTTCTAATGCACTTCAAGATCTACTGATGAGAACCCCATGCAAGAACTCCTGTCAGCTGTTGCCCTCTCACTGACTATGGTTATGTTGGAATATTACCCTTCCTGACCTCTGAAAATAACATAAAATTGAAATGAAGCAGTAATTGTATGATTATAAAATGTCACTAACATCAGACAGCAAGAAAAGACTATTAAATTAAAGGAAGTTTGCTCTTCAGAGGAAGAAGAGTTCAGCTTCATTGACAGATATTTATATATTTAATTTATTTGTGCAAAGAGAAGGTGAATGAACAGGTTTTGTAGGTACAGATCTGCTCTGCTTCTCCTCCCTCTGAAGGAGCATCATCCCATTCACACGTGCCAGAAAATGGAACGGGCTCTTCTTGCCCTCCAATGCTACAAAAGTGGCAGAGAAATGAAAGAAATGAAGAAAGAGAAATGGATGCTGGGGCTGTCTGTGACATCACACCTGCAAACCAGATTTTGCTGACATCTCTCGTTGTTTGGGATGAGCTGGTGGATAATTTGTGCTGGGAATTGCAGTGAAGTGAGGCTTGGAGCCCCCATGCTTTGCTGTTTTCCTCCAGTGGAGGTGGCAGAAGTGACAAAAGCTGTTTGCCAAAGGTTATCCCACTTCTGGAAAAGCCCAGAATTCCAGTGGCTTCCCAGTGCCCTGCATGTACAGGCCAGGAGGGGAAAGCAGGTGCAGCTAAACAATATAAAACCATTTCTCCAGCTTCCCATCCCCAGGTCCAGCTGGCATTTCAGTGCTGAGCAGCACAGAAACAACAGCACAGCCCAAAGTATCTCCTTAATAACTCCAATAAATCACAGGCGTGACAAAACCAAACCAGGAAGGATTTCACATGGGAACATCTTTAGGAGAAGACAAAACCAGCAGCTGCCTTTGAGAAAAAATAATCCTTGTGGGCTCCTGGGCTCAGCAGCCACATTCCCAGAGCATTCCCAGAACATTCCCAGAGCATTCCCAGAACATTCCCAGACCATTCCCAGAGCATTCCCAGAGCATTCCCAGAACATTCCCAGAGCATTCCCAGAACATTCCCAGAACACTCCCAGAGCATTCCCAGAGCAGTGGGGCCTCCCAGTTCTTGTCTAAAGCTCCTGCCAAGCTCTGACCACAGCAGGTGCTTTGTGTTCATCAGTGCAAACAGCAACACCTTCCATGTGTGCAGCCTCAGCTCTGCTTGGGAGGGAAGTTAGGCACACAGGGATCCAGGGATTCAGCCCATTTTATCCTGGAATGGGATGGGAGAGCCTGAAGGCCAGAGGAATTTTTGTTTTTGGGGGGGTTACAATTTTTTTATCTCTACAAGCTCACTGCATTGTGTGGTTGTGCCTGGCAGCTTGCCTTCCACAACAGGAATTGAAACTATTATACTGAGAAATGGAGAAAATTACAGTATTTCAAACTCTGCTT